GTGCGAAGTATGAATCTAGGAGAATTGGATGTTGTCAAAAATGAAATGAAACACATAAAAATCAATGTCCTAGGCATTGTTGTTGTTGTTGTTGTTATGTGCCATCAAGTCAGACCTAACTCATAGTGACCCCTTCTTGGGTTTCCAAGGTGATATCCCTATGGAAGTAGATTGCCCAATCTTCCTTCAGAGGAATGACTGATGGGTTTGAATTGCCAGCCTTCTGGTTATCAGTCAAGTGCCTTAGGCACTATGCTACCAGAGCTCCTATCCTCGGCATTAGTGAACTGAAATGGACTGGTTTTGGCCATTTTGAATCAGACAACCATATGATCAAGTATGCTGGGAATGACAAGTTGAAGAGGAATGGTGTGGCCTTCATCATCACAATGAATGTTTCAAGATCTATCCTGAAGTACAATGCTGTCAGTGATAGGATAATATCCATACACCTACAGGGAAGGCCAGCTACTACTACTATTACTCAAATTTACTCACCAAACACCAAAGTCAAAGACAAGGAAATTGAAGATTTTTACCAACTTCTGCAGTCTGAAATTGACCAAACATGCAATCAAGATGTAGTGATTATCACTGGTGATGTTGTTGTTGTTGTTGTTATGTGCCATCAAGTTGGACCAGACTCATAGCAACCTCTCCTTGGGTTTCTGAAGTGATATCACTTTAGAAGTAGATTGCCCAACCTTCCTTCTGAGGAGTGGCTGGTGGGTTTGAACTGCCAGCCTTCTGGTTAGCAGCCAAGTGTCTTAGGCACTATGCTACCAGAACTCCTATCACTGGTGATTGGAATGCAAAAGTTGGAAATAAAGAAGGATCACTAGTAGCTGGAAAATTTGGTCTTGGTGATAGAAATAATGCTGGAGATTGCATGATAGAATTTTGAAAGACCAATGACTTACTCATTGGAAAACCTTTTTTCAACAACACAAATGGTAGCTATACATGTGGACTTTGCCATGTGGTGTACATAGGAATCAAATTGACTACATCTGTGGCAAGAGGTGATGGAAAAGCTCAATATCTCCAGCCAAAACAAGTCCGAGAACTGATTGTGGAACAGACCATCAACTGCTCATGTGCAAGCTCAAATTGAGGTTGAAGAGAATTAAAATAAGTCCACAAGAGACAAAATATGATCTTAAATATATCCCTCCTGAATTTAGAGACTATCTAAAGGATATATTTGATGTATTGAATACCAATGACTGAAAACCAAAAGAATTGTGAAATGACATCAAGAACATCATCCATGAAGAAAGCAGAAGGTCATTAAAAAGATAGGATTGGAAGAAAAGACCAAAATGGATGTAAGAAAAAACTCTGAAACTTCCACTTGAGTGAAAAGTAGCTAAAGTAGATGGAAGAAATGACAAGATAAAAGAGCTGAACAGAAGATTTCAAAGAGCAGCTTGAGAAGCAAAGTCAATTATTATAATGGAATGTGCAAACACCTGGAGTTAGAAAACAAAAAGGCAAGAACATGCTCAGCATTTCTCAAGCTGAAGGATATGAAGAAAAAATGTAAGCCTCAAGGTGTGATATTGAAAGACTCTATGGGCACAATATTGAATAATGCAGGAAATATCAAAAGACGATGGAAGGAATACACAGTCACTACACCAAAGAGAATTGGTTGATGTTCATCCATTTCAGGAGGTGGTATATGATCAAGAACCAATGATATTGAAGGAAGAAATTGAAGCTGTGCTGAGGGAAGTGGCAAAAAATTATGGAATACCCACTAGAATGTTTCAACAAATGGATGCTGCACTAGAGGCACTCACTCAGCTATGCCAAGAGATTTGGAAGACAGCTACCTGGCCAACTGACTGGAAGAAATCCATATTTGTACCCATTCCAAAGAAAGGTAATCCCACAGAATGTGGAAATTATCAAACAATATCATTGATATCACATGCAAGTAAAATCTTAATGAAGATAGTTCAAAAACGGTTGCAACAGTATATTGACAGAGAACTGCCAGAAATGCAAGCTGGATTCAGAAGAGGATGTGTAATGAGGGATATCATTGATGTCAGATGGATCTTGGCTGAAAACAAAGAATACCAGAAAGATATTTACTTGTGTTTTCTTGACTATGCAAAAGCATTTGATTATGTGGATAATAACAAATTATGGATAACATTGAGAAGAATGGGAATTCCAGAACATTTAATTGTGCTCATGAGGAACCTGTGCATAGACAAGGAGGCTCTCATTTGAAAAGAACATGGGGACACTGCATGGTTTAAAATCAAGAAGGAAGTGAGTCAGGGTTGTATCGTTTCAATCTGTATGCTGAACAAATAATCTGAGAAGCTGAACTATATGAAGAAGAACATGGATATATAAGTAGACAGGCAAAATTATCAGGTAGAGGTGGGTAGAAGAGCATATACCCATGCCCATATATAGGTTTGGCAGATGATATTTCTACATATGTATTTGTATTTGTTATATGAATGTTGATACACAAAATACAGCTAATGGTGCAAAATCATGGTAACTTCTTAGCCAAACAACTTAAGGGAATGATTTGCTGGGCCTGCAGGCTTGGGACCATGGTTACAGGGACATCAACCTCAATTGGCATAACATACTACACAAAAACATTGTATTACATCCTATTTTGGTGAGTAGTGACTGGAGTCTTAAAAGCTTTCTAACATACAATTGGTCTCTCCTCCTCCAGTGCAAAGAAGAGTGAAGAAAATCAATGATGCATGGAAATAGTTAGTCCAAGGGACTAGTGGACTAAGGGAACCTCAGCCTACCCTACCCTGAGACCAGAAGAACTAGCTAGTGTCCAGCTACCATTGCCAGTCACTTGGAAAGGGATTAAAATTGAAGATCCTGGGTAGAGTGAGAAAAAATGTGGAACAAAACTCAAAATCATAAAAAATACCAGGCTTTCTGGTCTGATAGAGACTGGTGAAACTCCCAAGACAGGGCTTCTAGTCACCCTTCATGCCTGAAATTGAACTCACTCCCATGACTTAGCTTTCGACCAAACAATAGAGAAGCCTAGGAGGTAAAACAATTACAGCAGGTAGGTACACTTCTTAGAACAATCAACCATGGGAACTCAGAAGGGCAGCATTTGTGCAGGGAGAATGCTTACAGAGTAGGAATGCATAGGAAAGAAGGACATAGGGAAAAGGTAACCATAGGAAGGAAGTGGGAAGAGAGCTGTTACATTGTGGGGACTGCAGTCAATATCACAAAACAAAATGTGTATGAACTGTTCAATGGAAAACAAATTTGCTCTGTAAACTTTCACCTAAATCACAATTAAAAAAAGAAAACCCTATGGAGCATAGCTGTACTCTGACACACATGGGTTCACCATGAGTTAGAGTGGACTCAACAGATTCAACAGCAACTGGTTTGGATTATGAAGTAAAACAAACATCTTTCCCTCTAGGAATGAAAATGGCATATAGTCTGTAACCTATCTTGGTAGCATAAAATTTTTCATAAAATGATGTGTATAATTGTATTCCTGACAGTATGTAATCTAATTTTCCACTTGAATTTCCTCATTTATTTTTTATTTTGTCCTCCGTAAACCATGGGATCTATCAAACCCTCAACTACTGTCAAATCTCCATTGTTTTCTGGAAGTGAATGTTACAGATGTGAGTCTTTGTTGACAAATTGTTTCATGTCCTCTGGGTCTTAAATTAGTTTCCCTTACTATGAAGTAAAAATTCAGTGAGTATTTCCTGATATATTTAGAGTCAAAACTTGATTTTTTCTTAATCTTGTATGAATGATGAAGCCTGATCCTGCTCTAACGCCCTGATCCCATTCTTATTGTCTCATTTAAATTGTTTTCTCTGCTCTATTGATAACTTGTGGAATCATAAGTTTATTTTGTGGTGGGGTAGTTTTTATGGTTTGATTGCTTGGTTTTAAGCTGAAATCCTTCAATGACAATCTTGAATTCTTTCTTTGAGGATTGTTCCTTAGTGAGTTCTTGCTGTTGCCCTACTAAACAAAAAAAAAAAACACTGCCATCGAGCTGATTCTGACTCACAGTGACACTTGCTACCCTACTGAGATGGTTATTTCCATCCTTTGCTAATAATACATTCTAAGTTGCTAGGGGTGCCTCCCCTGTCCTCTTAGTGTTACCAGATCTATTTTGAGCTGTGATGTACACTTCTCAGGCAAGTTTCTCTTCAACAGTACACATTCTTTTTTCTTCTACACCTGGTCTGCTCTTGCATCTTTCTAGCATCCTGTCCATGTCTCTTGTTCCTCTGTAGCATTTACAAGATGCAGTTTAATAGTTTAGTGTCTTTTTTTTTTTTGGCACTCCTTATCTCTTCCTCATTTTCTGTTAAAGAAATAAGTGTATGTTCCACTGCACTTGCCTGAGAGTCTTGAACTGTCTTGGGTTTCCTGTCATCTGGGTTCTGACTGGCTTGCAGTCCCCCTTTGATGTTGTAATACTTTTTCATTCGACATGAGTGTGGGACTTGTAGATTTGTTTGCTTTTATTCCACCACCACCACCACCCGCCCCCGTGATGTGCACATTTTTTTCCTAAGCTTATTTTGCTGTTATTTTTAATTGCTTCCGACTGGGAGGTGGGGCTGAGAGTGAGATTTGGCTTGGGCTTGGCTCTCGTTGCTATTACTCACATTTCCTCAGAAGCCCCACACGCTCTTTCTCTCTCTGCTTCTGACATATCATTTTTGAAAGGCCGTTGATCCCTGGTGTAAGTGGTATTTAGAGGAAGATGGGCTTCAGTAAGGGATGCTCAGGAATCCAGTCCTGTACAGTCATGAGCTTGGCCATCTGGAAGTCTCTTCTTGCTCAATGAAATGGAGTAAACATTGTCCATTATGAAATCCACCACACAGGCTGCCAGGGACGAATGGGATCCCACCCAAAGCCAATCGCTGCTCTGACAGGGAAATTGGCTCGCACTGCCTGAGACTACTCCAGCCTCCCCCGTCCCTGATGTCACAATTCAGAGGCTGCTGCCTGCCTAGGAGGCTGTAGAAAGCTCTGTAGGTTCTCTCTGTGTGTCCTACAGGGCTCCACGGGCCAGGTCCTTGCTTGATGGCCTTTATGAAAAAATATCTCCTCCCCATTTGGGGACTCTTCTTGGCCTACTACTTCTATTCTGCAAATGAGGAATTCAGACCAGGTAAGTACAAATGTGTCTCATTTTGAAGGAATAGGTTAAAAAACACAGGGGTGCTGGAGTGTTCCTGAGGCTCAAGATAGGTTGCTAAAGAAGTGGGGAATCTGTGGTGGGACTGTATTTCTGTGTCCTCCAGTATAGGCTATGGGCAGGAGGGATGTGGGGAGGGGTAATCATGTTGCCAAAAGCTTGCCAAATAGGCCATGCTTTATTTGGCGTCCTTAATGGAATGCAATTTCAATTCCTCTACAAAAATGAGGGTAATTCCAAAACACATAATTCAGCCAAATAATTAGGCCCAGTGAAGAGACTGGTAAGTGGGAAGCAGAAAGGACTCTAGAATTGATAACTAAATAGAAGTGAGGGAAGATCCCTGGAATCTTTATGAACATTTGCTTTGACTGTTGTTTTAGATTTTCTGTGAATTGAGAAGAACTGGGTAAGTCCCGAAATGTCTGGAACTCCAGCATTTTACATTTCTGGCCTTGTCCTATGAACTCTGCCCACGGGTTTTTGTCAGAAAGTACAAGATGGAGGCTTGGTTTTGAGTGACCCGACCAAACCCCCATTTCATAGCATGTTTATGAAAGATTTCAAGTATTCCTTCAAGTGATTGTATGCACTTTGAAAACAAGCTAACTGAGATCATAGGAAAGTTAAACATCGAGATAAGGCTGCCTATGTCCAGAAAGGGAGGGAAACATCGCTGCCAAGTTGGGTATAGTCCTCACTGCCTTTTGGGGTTCCCCAGAAATGCTCCAAGGAAAGAAAGTGATTGTCACAGGGGCCAGCAAGGGAATTGGAGAGGAGATGGCCTATCAGCTGGCGAAGATGGGAGCCCATTTGGTGGTGACCGCGAGGTCAAAAGAAACTCTACAGAAGGTGAGGGTTCTGTGCCCAGAGACTCATGTGCTCTCATGTGTCCACAATATATTCCTGTATATACTCATATACACACACACACATGCAGAAGCTAGCGTTTCATGTACAGATGCCTATATGTGTATGCATAAACACTCAAACATACATACACTTAAATTTGTACTCTTTTATGAAGGTTTAAATACCCACAGGAATATAAGTAATTTAGGCATTCACTCCCATACACACACATGTATTTCATACTCAGACACATGCATATTACAAACATGCCTATTCTGCACATTTATACATGAAATCATATAGATAAGTATTCAGATACCAAAATTGCAGTAAATACTCATGAATACATATCCTCATACCCATGCCAACACTCACTCATATGCCCTCTCATGTTCTCTGACTCATAAACACAAGGACATATCAACACCCACAAACCTAGTGTTACCCACTTAGAAAGCAGCACCTGTACCCTTCATATGTTCAGAAACATATTCACAGAAATCTATTAGCATAAATCATGGACCTAAATCCCAGCACAGTGATAATTTAATCCTTGACCCCACACCTTGTTCCAGGAAATATTTCAGACAAAGGACATTGTTCATATCAGGTTTATTTAGCCATATACACTCCTACTATTTCTTATCAAAACAGGGCTGTGAGCAATATCTCTTTTAAATCCCCATTATTTCAGAGACGGTCTCCCAAAGGTCTGCAGCCAAGGCTGATGCCACTGCTACTATGTTTCTGCAGGTGGTATCCCACTGCCTAGAACTCGGAGCAGCCTCAGCACACTACATTGCTGGTACTATGGAGGACATGACCTTCGCAGAGCAATTTGTTGTCAAAGCAGGAAAGCTCATGGGTGAGGCTGCTTTTCTTCTCTCCCCTGACTTTGTACTACGGGTCAGTCACCAGGGAGCTTTGGGAAGGGAAAGTACCAACCGCAGATGGTTTCTCTCAACACAGCCATCTCTTGCAGGGGGGCTAGACATGCTCATTCTCAACCACATCACCAACACATCTGTGAATTTATTTAATAATAATATCCACGATGTGCGCAGAAGCATGGAGGTCAACTTCCTCAGTTATGTGGTCCTGAGTGTAGCCGCCTTGCCCATGCTGAAGCAGAGTAATGGAAGCATTGTTGTGGTCTCCTCAATAGCTGGTGAGTGGAGCAGGGAACCGTGTGGAAGGTAGGACCAAGACAATTCCATGCATTTAACCATTTTCATGCAGAGAAGTAACGCAATATAAACTTGAAGCTACAATGTTCACAGTGATATTAAGTCAAAGCTGATTAACAGCTTGCTCATATGCTTAAAAAAAACAAACAACAACAAAAAAAAAAAAAAAAAAACCTAACTCACTGCTATCAAGTTGAATGCTTGGGCAGTAAGATATACTAACTAGAGATTTGGGTATGTAAACTCAATGAGGGGCATGCATGATAAATAAAAGAGGAACTGTTAAGAACAAGTGGGACCATAAAAAATGAGGGGTTGGTCAAGGTTAGTGGGCTACAAAAGCCTTGAAAGTACATGAGAGGAGCAAATGGAAGATCAGATAGACATTGAGAGGCTGCTCGAGGTATAGCCTGTCCTTATATTGAGACCTGGTCACATATATACACATGGCTATACATGCATAAAGGAGCTTTGGTGCTGCAGTGGTTAAGGAATTTGGCTGCTAACCAAAAGGTTAGTGTTTGAACCCACCAACTTTTCCATAGGAGAAAGATGAGGCAGTCAGCTTCCATAAAGATTTATAGCCTCGGAAACCTTATGGGGGATGCTATGAAGCTGACTCAATGGCAGTGAGTTTGGTTTTTGAGTTTGGATATATGGGTAAAAAAAAAAATTTGCTTCCTCCATGACCAAGTGTTGTAGGTCAGTAAAGTCAGGTGACACAAAGATAAAACTGAAAAGTGCAATGCTTCAATAATGTGCAGTTGCCTGGTAAGCCGGTTAAATTAAGGCAAAGAGAAATGAACAACAAAAGAAGACATATTAGTAACTAATATGTCTAGTTACTAATATGTCTTCTATCTTTGTTCATTTCTCTTTGCCTAAACCCGCTTACCAGGCAACTGTACATTGCCAAAGTATTTCACATTTCAATTTTACTTTTGTATCACCTGACCTTACTGACCTTTACAACTCTTGGTCATGGAGGGAGCAAAATCCTTTTTTTACCCATATATCCAAACTCAAAAACCAAACATACTGCTACAAGAGACCTGCCTAATTTGGAGTATTCTCCAAAGTTTCAATTTGTTACATTAAAAATCCAATTTAAAGAACCAACTGAATTGAGAGGTTTTGTGTTTAGAGGAAAAAGGTTCATAAAGAGAGCTATGTGGAATCAAGAGAGGTCCCTAATGCCAGTAAAATGCCAGAGAGTTTCAGCTTGGGGGATTCCTAGGCCTGTGTCAGCATGAGTCCAAGAAAGCAGTTTGATAACTTTTTGTTGATCAGTCACTTGGAAAGCTGTGGCCAGAAGGTACAAACACCAGGATCCAAATCAGCCTTCTCAGTATGGTTCCTGGCAATGTAAAAACAGATAACCTAGGACTTTGTCAACTGTTAAGTAGTATACAGACCTTAGTTCTTATGGTAGCTAATAATACCATCTCTATTGTAAAGAGTTTCATTTTCTGGCCCAGGAAAGGTCTGAATAGTGATGGGATAAAAGGGCAGTGCATCTTGTACAACGCGACAAACAGAGTGATTGATATGCATCCCTGTGCTTCCCAGACAACACAGACTCCCCACCCCTCCCAGACAGAGCCTCTCTCCGGGCTGAAAGGAAGGGAGAGCTTCCAGATGCATACTGAGTGGGAGGGTGCTGGGCACATCCCCAAATCCATCCAAGGACATTAGCCAAAACCTTCAAATCAGCCATGGTGTAGGTGGCTTTACTGATTTCAGTTGATGGAATAACATCCATTCTAGCATGTTCTTCACCTTTGGCTGGAGGAATTAAATTTCAATAATGCTCACGCAGTCTAAATATATTCAGAAATAACATATATACTGTAGAAGCCCAAAGGTATGATGAAATTCCAGTAACTTCTGTTTCCTCATGCCTTCTGTAACTACCGGACATCACTTTGTATTTTCTGTGGATCCTGGGAGGTGGAAATCTAGTTGGGTTACTATTCCTTGTGTCTAGCATTATAGACTTGCAAAACATAGAGAGAGTGCTTTCTCTCCCTAATTGAAGAATATTCTCTATTCTGTGACATATTCTTTTAAGCACTATGCAACCACGTTCATTAATCCTTCCTCTTTAAATTCTGGATTCCACGAACAAATGATGATAAACCTCAAACTGTCAGCCAAACAGTATGGGGGTAGAGTTTTAATCATTCCTTCCAGGGAATGCATTCAGCTTTTTGTTGAATTACAATGACAAGCAGGATTTTTTCCCAATGTATTTCAAGGTACTGCGTTCCATTGCCAAGGAAATGTGTGCTCCTGTCTGTTAGAATTCCTGAGAGATATCCTATACTTTTGATATTTTCTGTAAAGACTCAGTTACTTTAGCATCAACACAGAGAGAATTACTCTTCTGGGAAACTCTTCACAGTACACATCCATTTACCAATCATCATCTTTTGTTTATACCTATGAATCAAGCAACATCGAGTTATATTAACAGTCTTCCTTCTTTCCACTATGTAATAGTTTGGATATAAGTTCAGCTTCTATAACAAAGACCCAACTTTACAATGGCTTACAAATCAAAAGGACCTCTTGTGGTGTAGTGGTTAAAGCATTTGGCTGCTAACCAAAAGGTCAGCAGTTTGAACCTACCAGCTGCTCCACAGAAGAAAGATGAAGCAGTCTGCTTCCGTAAAGATACCCACTGCCATCAAGTCAGGATAGACTCATAGCAACCCCTCTTTGGGTTTCCAAGGCGATATCATTACAGAAGTAGATTGCCTAACCTTCTTTTCAGGGAGTGGCTGGTGGATTTGAACCACCAGCTTTCTGGTTAGCAGTCAGATGCCTTAGGCACTATGCCACCAGAGATCCCTCCATAAAGATACAACCTTGGAAATCCAATGGAGATCAAAATGAGAAATGAGTCAGAATCAACTTGATAGCTATGAACTTGGTAGCTATGAGTGTGGTTTGATTTTGGTTAAACAAATCAAACTATTTTTCTTTCATAAAAAAGCCTAGGGTAGGCACCCTAAGGCTAATAATATAGTTCTTTCTGTGACATGTGGTTGTTCAGGAACCCAGACTTTTTCTGTCTTAGCACTGCCATAAGGTTGTATGTCAACTTGTCTGGGCCATGATTTTGAGTGAATTGGCAGCTGGATATAATTATTCGCCATGATGAGAGTGGATGTGGCATAATCCACTCCATGGTGGAATCTGCTGTGAGCAGCTAATTAGTGGAAGAGGAGTTACCTTTAGGGTGTGGCCTACTTCCAGTATATATGGAGAAGCTTTGGGAAAGGTCTCTAGCTTTTGGGCTCATTTTGGATCCTGCATTTGGCCTGTCATCTTCAGTTTCTGGACTTGAACCACTGGCCTACTGTGTTGCCTGCCAATCTTCAGATTGTTCACTGAGCAGCCTGTGAGCCAACAATCTGCCATTTTACCTGCCAATCTTAGATTTGTCAGCCCAGCAGCCAGTAGCTGCATGAGTCAGGAGAAGCCTCCAGCTTGTTCCAGTAGGCCTGAAATAAGAGGCAGAGCTGAAGCCCAAGGTCAAGTGGCCTCCACCCAGCCTCAAGAACTGGCACTCTGAAGTCAGACTTCTAGCCTAGTCTCCCCTAGAACTGCCACTCTAAATTCAGACTTCTCGCCTCCTAAACTGCAAGAGAATAAATTTCTGTTTGTTAAAGCCATCCATTTATGATTTTTCTGTTGTAGCAGCACTAGACAACAAAGATAGCTGTCATCTTCATCTCCATGTCCAGGATGGCTCATCAATATATTTGAAATTTAGCAGAGAGAATGGGGGAAAGAAGAAAACTATAACCTGAAAGTTATACCTTCCTTTTTGTTCATATCCCAGTGGCTACCCAACCCCTTGCCGTCAAGTTGATTCCAACTCACAGCAACCCTAAAGGACAGAGTAGAACTGCTTCATATGGTTTCTAAGGCTGTAAATCTTTACAGAAGCAGACCACCACATCTTTCTCCTGTGGAGCAACTGGTGAGTTTCAACCACTGACCTTTCAGTGAGCAGCCAAATCCTTTAACCACTACATTACCAGGGCTCCTCCAGTGGTTACATCAGCTGCAAATGTGGTCTTTATTCAAAGGAGACATGTATACAACTGAAAACCAAGGTTCTATTTCCATAAAAGACAGTTATTGATGAACAGCTTCCCTCCCATATCACCCATGCCAAGAAGCACATAAGAATAGAAGGAAGCTTCCCCTCCAGTCTTACCACATGTATACCTCCACACAACACACACACACCTGAGACTAATTTTAATTCATATCCAAGGTCTATCATAAAAATAAAATCCCTTCCATCATGCAGTGGATACAGGGGACAGTGGGAGATGAGAAAGAAGGGAGAGAATAACTAGATGCTGTTTATGAAACAAACTGAGACAGAGACAATAATACTTGAGTTTGACTGAAAACAAAAATCACTGGGTAGGGCAGAGAACGCTTGGAAACATCTGGAAAAGATTTATCTGCCATTAGTTAAACTGGATCTTCTTGACTTAGGTTCAATTATAGGAAAGCGAAGTTTATTCAATGTCTGGGCCTCTTGGCTTTTTGAACCCCACAAATATGGCTGTCATGTCAGTTACACACATGATGGCTAGAACAGAGCTCCTAGGGCTGTTTCTCCTCACCTCCCTTATTCCCTATCAGGGAAATCACGGACAAACCCTCTCATTGCTCTGTTCCTTTCTTTTCCCAAACTCCATTTAATCACACTTCCCATGAAATCTTTTCCAGTACCCAATAGAACTGCATAAACAGTTCCTCTTATTCTCCATCTACTACAATTCAGTCAAATTTTCAGAAATCTTACTTCCTTTCTCTTTTTTCTTTTGGTTTTACTGGTGATCCAAATATAATAACAATAATAAAACAAATGCTAAACACACTGGACAAGCAAAAGTATAGGCACAGTAATTCTTCTAGACCAAGGAAATTGAAAGGCATATTTTTAACTGGA